GGTGGGCAAGGAGAAGGCGCTGCCATCTCGAGTGCCACACTCAAAGGCAACAGCGCACACAGCATAAAGACCGAAAATCAGACAACATCTTGGGCAAAAGGATCCAGCTGATGCCTGACTGCCTGCGTCCAGGCAAACACATCAGATAAGCACGATTGAATGCAAGCCGCCCCCCTTCCCTCCCTAGCGCCTAAAAGACCAGCAGGAGCAGCAGCAGCAGACGAGTAGAGTGATGGACGGGCTACAGATACAACAAAGCTGTCCTAAAAAGCAACCAAAAGAAAGTAAAGACGGTGCAACAACAACAACAACGGCTACAGCACCAACAAAAAAGTACAAAAAGTAGCAGGCAAAAAAAAATGCGAAATAAAAAACGGGTCATTGGAGTAAGATGAGCGACCGCTCTTAAGCCAGAAAAAAAGCAGAAAAAAATCTTGCAGCAACAGCAACGGCAGGGTCCTCCCCCCTTCAAATGGTAATGCCGCGGTGCACAAAGCGCTATACAATGAGCATACCGTTTTGCCCTAATCAAATCAAAATTCTAGACGACTAGGCAAAAGCCCTGTAAAGGGTGCAACTAACTGTAAAAGAGTTGTGCTTCATAGATAGGCACATTCGCCGGATCTCTGTTGTTTATGGAAGAACCTTCTCCGTTGGAGCATTGTTAGGTCATTATAGTAAATAGTTTTCAGCCTGATTACATTGTCAAGCCGGTGTTTAATTTTAAGTTAGCTTGAATTTTACATTAACTGTAATTAAATTGTATTAAATATATAAACAAATAGTTTTTACTTTCGTCATTAGCATTTGAATTGCTTTATGATATTTATTATTATTATTTTTTATTTTAATAAAAAATTTATGATTTATTTAATTTATTTAATTATTTTTAAATAATTTTTTTTATTATTATCTTTATATTATTTTTGTATAATATATTAATGTAACCTCATCATTAATTTTTATATTTACGGTCATTATTTCAATTTTTATTTTCATTATTATAATATATTATTATTATATATATTCAATTATAATGATTTTTCCTTTAACTTATTATTATTATTTTTTTTTAATAATTTTTCTTCCGTATTTTTGTTTTTATTAGCACTTTAATAGTCATCATTATTCAAATTTAAGTACATTTATTTAATTTATATTAAAAATAATTTGTTTGCTATTTATTACTCTGTCGCAGTTCATATTATTCTTAAAAATTCAACAAGTTTTCATACATACAAATACGTAAAGCAAAATGTAAATAGAGGAATACCCTCAACAAAAATTGTTATTCACCATTTTTGTGGCAAGCAATTTTCAGCTTTAATCCTAAATGTAACAGAAATATATTAGAGTTTTCTCAACGCACATTAGCATTGTTTCTAATCACATTCATGAAATGATTGCACAATAATTTCCTAGCTGAGTATACCCTGTGCAGCTGTAATGCTTAAAGGGCATAAAGCGAAGAGACAGAGAATTAAGGGAAGGATGCCTTTGAAATGCAAATTACACCCAAGAGAGAGAGAGAGAATCATTGAGGGAGAGTTGGGATGGGATGGAATGGAATGGAGTGGGATGGGATGGGAGTCGAGTGCCAGTGCCGAGATGCAGCGGAAAAGAAAATGCGGAAACTGCGCGCTGTCGGATTCTTGGCTTGTCGAGTGTTATGTATTTAGTGGCTGCCTCTGCCGCTGCCTCTGCCGCTGCCTCTGCCGCTGCTGCTGCTGCTGCTGCTGCTCCTCGAGCTCTTTAGCTCTTTAGCACCTGCCGTACAGTTTGCGCTTTGGCATAGGTCGCGTTTTCATTGCTGTTGTTGTGGCAGTGCGACTGTGGCGTTGCCACACAGTCAACCAGCTGAAGCTGAAGCTGTAGCTGGCAACGCCGTGAACTCTGCACGCAAAGAAATAATAAAGACAAACAGTGCATTGTGCGTTGGCTTGAATAAAAAACAGTAGTAGAAGAAGAAGAAGAAGAGTTGTTGGCCAGGTAAGGGAAAACAGTGTAAAAGCATAATGATAATGGCAACAGCAGGAGCAGCAGGAGTAGAAGTAGTCATAACTCCCCCCACAACTCCCGCTCTTCACACTTCTGCGTCCAACTTGACACAATAGCACGCGGCCAAATAAAAATTTATGGCACAGCTGAAAACTGCAATGTAGCCAGTGTGTACACACTGTGGCCCCGAGTCCGAAATCCCATTTCAAATTGTGTGTGAGCAGGAGAGATGGCTGGGGGTGAGTGGTGCGGGAGGTCGTGGAATCCGGGTGTAGCGGGCCGGCCGCACCGTAAAACTGGGTGGCCTGTTATGAGTTTTAACGGTTCGTCGAAGCCGGTCAGCGGCATTGGCGAGATGGAATTTAAGTAGAAACCAAAAATAAAAAAGAAGAAGAAGAAACGTACAAAAACACAAACAGAAAGAATAAAAAAATAAAATAAAAACTTTTAATGAAAAGTGCACTGAATTCTTAATGCCCGTCCAGTCAAAAGCTCCACTTTTTACTATTTTCACCACGGCGCACTTTCGATTATGCTCTTTAAAGTCAGGCGTATACGCTGATTTAAGCACGTACGTTAAGTGAAACATATACAAATAAATATATATACTTATTATATATGCCTGCTTGCTTATATGTGATGGGCTATTGAGGTTGAGTAAACAAAGATTATTTCAAGAGCTATTTAAATATAATTCAGTGAGTGAAAGGCTTGAAATTCATAACTATGAATTGCTATCGATTGCGTACAGTCAATTAATTTTTAACATGTTTCAAAATGATTTTCTTCCACGCAGATGCATAAAAAAGTTAAGTCCTTTTGAAGTTTAATTGAAGAAATAAAAAAAAAAAAGTTTGTATAATAAAAATAAATTAATCTTTTTAAATAACAATAATAAAAATAATCGATTATTCCAATATGCCAATTGCCAACAAATTGAAATCTTATCTTATCAATGACTTAGATTTTATATGATATAAACATTTTTATTAACATGTTGTTTTCATAAGGAAATAGATAATTCTTTTTTATTAATTCTTAGCCTTTTACATCTCTTGTAATATATTAAATATTACATAAAGACCATAAAGAATTTAATGTAATAGTATTTTGAAAGTCTTAAAAAAATATATATAAATAAATATTTTGTAACGATAAACAAACTTTTCTACAATAAAGAGAAAAATATATAATTTTTTTTTTTTAATTTGTCCACTTTACTAAAAAAATTTTAAAAATTATTTTAGTGTACTTTTTAATAAAAAAAAAGCTTAACAAGAAAATATAAAATAGCTTACAGCATTAGAATTTTGTGTCTAGAGCACTTACCAGCCTCAAGTGCGCACAGATTAAAAATGATTTCATTTTTATATAATACTTAGTTTTTTTTTTTTTTCTTTTGTATTCTTAATTCACTTAAAGTGACTTTCGGCTTTGTCTTACTGCCCCAGAGCGAACAGTGCGCCCATATTGCAGGCCAGATATGCAAAATGTATGTAAATGGGCAGAACCATAAAAAAATGCGGGCAACTTTAAAACACATAAAAGAAGGAAAAAGAAAAGATTTCTGAGTGCCTCAGTTGACAATTGCTGCTGTGTGAAAAATGCGTCAAGATAAAAGGAAAATTTACAAATTGGTAGGGGAGTGGCGAGGTGGAGCGGGGCGGGGCAGAAAGCAAAACGAAGGAGCCGCACAGCGTTTAAGCAATAAAACAATAAATTTTCATTACCGGACTCGTGGCTATTAACTGTTTCCGCTGGCCAAAAAAAAGTAAATGCATTTAAACAGGCAGCAGTTTTAAATGTGTATAAAAATAAATAAAAATACAAATTGCTATATATATATATATGTGTCTGTGTGTGTTTCATTTATTTATACATATACATATATGCTACGTTTGAACTGCAGTGGACGCTCGAAAGTATGCAACACTTTTGTAATTTATTTTATTTCTGTCGGCTTTTTATTATTTTTTTGCTCTCCCATTTCAAACATTTGACTTTGGCATTTTACATTAAAAATTTTTATTCTTTTATATACGTTTTTTTTCCTTTTTTTTATAATACCTATTTTTGTACTATTTTCTCTTTATTCACCCGCACTTGGCATTTTCTCTGTGTCTGTGTGTTTTGCGCTTTAATTACATTTTCGTGGTTTTCATTTTGTGCACCATAAATAATTTCACCCATGCAATGCTGCGCTGCTTCTTCTACAGCTTTTTTTTTATTATACCCCTCTCTCTCTCTCTCTCTCTCTCTCTTTCACTCTCTTTGTTTTTTAGTATTTCCATTTTTCTCTTCGCATAAAATGATTTGGCCCACGTCCAGAGTAGGTGAACACAAAACTAAATGTTGTTGTTGCCTTTTGCGGCTGCATCAGCATTAATTTGCTTAAAATGAAAACGTGCTTTAAAAAAAGATAAAAAAAAAAGATTTTCTATACTCTTCCCTACTTGAAAAGTGAGTAAGGAAGGTATATTGGGTTTTGACGGATGTGCGGAGCTAAGATAGGATTTTATGTACACATATGCTATTTTGGAAATTTCTGGGTTGCTCCATATCTTCTTTTCGATAATTAATTATATAATAATTTAAAATTTACAATCAATCATTACTAAAATATCAAGCCATCAAAACTAGTAAAAAAAAAAAAAATATATAAGACTTAATTATCAAAAAATTAACAAAAAAAAAAAAAAAAAAAAAACAACAAAATATATATATATACATATACATAAACATATATATATATATATGTTTATGTATATGTATATAAATATTTTGTTTGTTTTTTTTTTTTTTTTTTTTTAAGTTTCTTAATGATTAAGTCTTATGTCTTATATATAAACATATATATATGTATATATATGTTTATGTATGTGTATATGCATATATAAACCAGCGTGAGACATTTTTGAAGCTTCTTTCTCTCGTAACTCAACCTGAACTCCACATCAACTTGACTATAATTTTTGGTTTTCGTTTTTGTTTTGTTCTTGCAGGTCACGTGGGCGGCTGTGGCATAACGGAGGAGGTCTCACAATGGATGGAGAATATACAAAATTCAGCGGTTGAGGAGCTGCCAGTGCCCATGTCAAAGGATGTCCAAAAGCTGCACCGGAAACAGCAACACAAAAAGGCAACGGCTGCCCAGCAACAACAACAGCAACAGCAACAGCAGCAACAGCAACAGCAGCAACAGCAACAACAGCTACTATATCCACCGAAGAAATACGCCAGCAGCGATGATGATTTCAAATTGCCACATCAGAAATATACAAAGGAAGCAAACTTGGGCGACGGCAACGGTGGATTCTATGATCCAGAGACCGGACGTCGCTTGGGCACCACGGCCAATGTCGCCGAGTGGCGTCAACTGGTCCACGAGCGTGTGCGTCGCGCCAGTGGCAACGGCGGTGCTGGTGGCAACAATGCTGCGGCTAACGGTTCATCTGGCGCCGGACGCGGACGTGAGGATAACAAGAATACCTGCTCGCTGTATATACAAACAGATCCATTGATTTGGCGTCATATACGCGAGAGTATTGCTGATGTAAGTCTGACTATCGATGCCGCCAGTTGTGGGTGGGGGGTGTGGCTGAAGGCTGAGGGCTTGCTGCGTGGCAGATGTGGAGTGGTCGTGGCCTGCCAGTTCGTGCGCCAAATTAAAACCGAAGCAGCAGCAGCAACAGCAGCAACAACAACAGTTTCTCTGTGGCTTAAACAACACAAAACAAAATCCATGAGTTTTGCAATTTTTTACGAGCGAATGCTTCACTTTTTGGCTCTCAAGCATAAAACAAAAGGCCCCAATTTTTCTGGATGATGCGCGGGCAATGCTTGAGGGAGTGCAAGCGAGACGACTGTATGGGGTGGAGGGGGGTACGCGGCGCGTAGTCAGTCCGACGCCATTTTTTGTTTCTGTTCGCTCAAAGAAATTGGGTGATGCGCTACGATAAGTGAAAATTGTTCTTTGGTTAGCTGAAAGTCAGCTTAGTTGCTGAAAAGTTGCTAGATTATTTTATGATTTTTTTAAAATTCAAGCAAATGTTTGTTGCTAGTTGTCAAGATTATAGAATCTTATTGAAGAAATTTCACCACATAGACTTCTTATTATTTTTTTTTTTTTATAATTTTTAAATAAGTCGAGCACAGTTTTTTGTTAGTTGTGAAGATTATGGAATTTTAATGCAGAAATTTCACCACATAGATTTATTAACTCCTTTTTTATTTTATTTATTCATTTATTTATTTAAAAAAAAATTCAGTGTTTTCTTAAAAGTTGATTTTTTTCTAATGATTTTAAAATAAGTCAAGCACAATTTTTTGTTAGTTGTCAAGATTAAGGAATCTTAATGAAGGAATTTCGAGCCTTATTTTTTTCAGTAAATATATATTATTTTATTGTTTATAAATAAAACCGAATCTTGGGCTTGTTTAAAGCTCAGAAAAAAAGTTATTTCAAAAGAAAAGTTCGTTTCAAAATTTTAAGACATTTTTCATTAGTTTAATAATTTCTGAGTCATAAACACAGCATAGAAATTGAATCTCTCATAAAATATAGTTATCTAAATTATTCTTTGTAAACACATTTTTGCTTTTCAAATCAATAATTTGGAACATAATAGCCACTTAATTTATATTCATGCCTACTCAAATTATCCTTAAGCATGCACACAGCACTTCAAAATCAATTTACCTCAACTTGGCTTTCTAATAAATTTCGACCTGGCTTAATTAAATTTTCGTATATAATTATTATCTTGAGTTAACAATAACCTCAAGTGTTTCGCACACATGAAATCATTTAGAGCACAATTCGAGCAGCTCTTAAGCATGGTTGGCCCCACACACAATTCGCCGAGCAACCTTATGAAGGGTGATTTTATTTTTTCTCCTTTCCTCTTTCCATTTCCTTGAAATTTGCTTGAATTTCGCCTTTGCTTGGCGGCGTCTTCAAAGCAATCAACCAATCAGCTGACCTGCTTCGATATCTGCAGCGCATGCAATCAACCGTTATAGCCGGGGTGCCTCCGCTCTCTCTCTCTCTCTCTTGCTCTTTCTCTCTATTTTGCTCGACAATTCTTTTGCTCTACGCTTGCTCGTTCGCAAGCAATTCTTTTGCCTCACTTTATGTTTACGTTCATTTTTTTCGCATTGTACACGCTGTTGTTGTTCTTCCAATTGTTGTTGTTGTTGTTGTCGTCGTCGACGTCGACGTCAACATCCTCGTCAGATTCGTTCTGCAGCGTACCCGACCCCGACCCTCTTGCGAAATGCTCCACCCGCTTCTGTCTTCGCTCACTCACTCACTCGCTCATTCACTCACTCGCTCACTCTCTCGCTCGGCATCCCTCACTCTTTCTTCACCGTTTTGTCTGTTTATTTGCAATGAGTTTTGCATAATTCGCGCATTTGTTTCGTTCGTCGCTGCGTTCGTGACGCGTTTTTATTGGCCTGTGCAATGAAATGAAAGGGTATATTGATTTGTATAATTGTGTGTGTGTGTGTATTTATTTATTTAGTAGATAGAGATCATATCATAAAGCTGGAATATAGCACTGGCTACAGCGGCTTTTTGCTTATTGGGTGAAGATAATTAGGAATCAATATTAGTCACGGATTATAATATCTATTTATTTTCTAAAAGAATATAGCCTTGATCTATTAGAAGCAACTAGAAATATATTTCAATTTGTATTTTGCCATCTCAGGATTTTACTTTGAAATATATCATTTTCATATTATATATATATCTTTTTTTTATAAATCTTTCACATTCTCTTGGAATTACATTTCCCAGGGTATTTCTAGGCACATATCCCATTCATTTGTTGGTTCTATTTACTCGCCTTTTGTCACTGGGCCCAGCGGCATTTTGATTTTGGAACCAAAAACTGCCGTTAGCGGTGCGCTGATAGACCATGCCCCACGTGGCCCACACCGCACGGTTAAAAACCACGAAATCCCGCAAATCCACCCGCTCAACGCGCACGCGAATATATAAAAGCGAAAAAAGTTCTGAAAAATATTCGACGGGTTTTTAGCTGAATTTGCATTTTTATACAAATATATTTGAAGAGTGCTTGTTGTGTGTGTGGGGTGTGTGTGGGGTGTGTGCGGGGGTGTGTGCGGGGTGTGTGCTGGGGCCCTGGGCAACAACAAACTGGGGAATGGGGTCGTTTGTTTGTCTGGCTGCTTTGTTTGCCACGCCCCTTGTTTGCTCAAAATGTCAAGCGCAGCGGCACTGCGATTGAGATTTTTATTACGAACGAGCGCGTCCGCTCGCGCCCAAAAGTCGACTTCATTGATTTTTATTTTTAATTTAATTTTTTCTTTGTACTTATTTTGTTAATTTTTGCTGATATATTTGTGTGTGTGTGTAAAATTAATTTGTGAAAATTTGGTGACTTCCTTTTCATGTTGACGCTTATGCAGCACGATCGCGGTCGCAAGTACGAGATAGATGTGAAGACCCGGGAGGAAATCACATCGCTGATTGCACATCATGTGACGGCCGTTAATTACATTTACCGCAACACAAAGTTCGATGGACGGACGGAGCATCGCAACATACGCTTTGAGGTGAGTGAACAGCAGCAGTGGCAGTGGCAGCAGCAACTCAGCAGCGCCCCCTGCCGGTTGCCAATTGCCGAACAGAGCTGGAAGGGTGGCTCCACAGTCCACATCCCACTGCCCACAGGCAACAATGGCCACAGAACAAAGAGCGTGTCCCTGGACCAGGACCAGGACCAGAGCAGCAGCAACAGCTCCAGCAACCAGGACAACCTCATCAGGGTTGTAAAGAGAAGCGTTTAAGCGCAGACAGACCCAATAATTATGCGTGGAACGAGTTGCGCTGACGCCAGCGCCGAGTTAAGATGGGTTTTAGTATCATAAACCTTAAAGTCAAGGGCCTTTAAGCTGAAAGGATTGATATTTTGTATAGATTGAATACGATTTCAATAGTGAAACGAAATGGAATTGTAACATTCTACAGTTTAAGTTAAGTTAGGCTCTCACTTCACAGGTTGAGGTATTTAAATTGTCTATTTTATATTAATGGAACATCCTAAAGTATTTGAGTGAGTATTTTGAGTATTTTGTGTCCATAGCTCGTTCATTTCGCATTCGTTAAGGATCATATTCTTCATATATTGTATAGAAGTACTATATAATACTTTTCATTGTGAATCAAGCTTGAGCTGCAAATAATTTAAAGTTATGGCTTTTTATATGGCTTCAAGGGAAGAACTATATATTTTTTTATTAACTATTGGTATAAAAGCTATATAGTATTAATAGAGAACGTAGTAAAATTGCAATACATTAAACATGATTGATTGTATTAGGCTCAAATTAAAACTGATCTAAGGAAAGGTAGTCACATTTTATAAGGGAAATGAATTGTGAATGGAACAAATGAAAACATAACTTTATTTTTATTTCTAATTGACATATTGGAACTATTTAATTTATGAAACTGTAATCTCCGGTATTCTTCTCCAGGTGCAACGCATTAAAATCGACGACGATTCCGCCTGTCGCAATTCCTACAATGGGCCACACAATGCATTTTGTAACGAGCACATGGATGTCTCGAACTTCTTGAATCTCCACTCGCTAGAGGATCACTCAGACTTTTGTCTAGCCTACGTATTTACCTACAGGTGAGTGCCAAATCAAATCATACATTATTTAACTTTTTATCGAACCTAATCGTCTCTCTTTCCATCCTGCAGAGATTTTACGGGCGGCACTTTGGGCCTGGCCTGGGTGGCCAGCGCGTCGGGCGCCTCGGGCGGCATTTGCGAGAAGTACAAAACCTACACGGAAACTGTGGGCGGCCAGTACCAGAGCACCAAGCGCTCCTTGAACACGGGCATCATCACCTTTGTCAACTACAACAGTCGCGTCCCACCAAAGGTGTCGCAGCTGACGCTGGCCCATGAGATTGGACACAATTTTGGATCACCGGTAAGTGGATGGAGGTGTAGGGGGTGGGAATGCATGGGATGCAAGTTAGAAATAATTACGTCTCTTGTTATTGTTTGCTAGATTCAGATTCTCAATATAGGAATTATTGAGATTTATTCCGCATTCCATTATAATTTATAGTTGAATTATATTTTACCATTTTGATTTTAACTTAGTATTAATGTAATTTATTTTTATTAACAGTATTTCATTCCATTGTTTCAGCAAATTTGTACATTTTATTAAATTCCCTACTTTAAACTAGCTTAGTTCCATTATATTTAATTTCATACTTTCCAAAATTCATGTTCTATTCCATCGTTCCACCTTGCTTTTCACGTAAGATTGCGCAAAAATGAATATGCATTCATTGCGTATGACAAATGCATATGGAATTAAGTGTTTCATTCCACCATTCCTCACTAAATGACCATCTACGGAGTCTTCCACGTTCTACACTATATTTTCATGTCAATTAGCACAAAAATGTCTTAGGATCCATTGCGCATAATCATTTAATGTTATATTAAGTGTTTCATTCCATTATTCCAACGCTAACTAATCGATTGCCATATGTTCCACAGCACGACTACCCACAAGAATGCCGTCCCAGTGGACCCAACGGCAACTTCATAATGTTTGCCAGCGCCACCTCTGGCGATCGTCCCAACAATTCGAAATTCTCACCCTGTTCCATACGCAACATTTCCAATGTGCTGGATGTGCTGGTGGGCAATACGAAACGTGATTGCTTCAAGGCATCGGAGGGCGCCTTCTGCGGCAACAAGATCGTGGAGTCGGGCGAGGAGTGCGACTGTGGCTTCAACGAGGAGGAGTGCAAAGACAATTGCTGCTATCCGCGCCTGATCAGCGAATACGATCAGTCGCTCAACTCGAGTGCGAAGGGGTGTAGGCGTCGGGCCAAGACGCAGTGCTCGCCGTCGCAGGGCCCCTGCTGCCTGGCCAACTCCTGCGCGTTTGTGCCCTCGCACTTCCACCAGAAATGCAAGGAGGAGACGGAGTGCAGCTGGTCGAGCACCTGCAATGGCACCACGGCCGAGTGCCCCGAGCCCCGGCATCGCGATGACAAAACGATGTGCAACAACGGCACCGCCCTGTGCATACGCGGCGAGTGCAGTGGATCGCCCTGTTTGCTCTGGAATATGACCAAATGCTTCCTCACCTCGACGACGCTGCCGCACGTGGACAAGCGCAAGCTCTGCGAGCTCGCCTGCCAGGATGGCAACGATACGTCCACCTGTCGCAGCACCAGTGAATTCGCTGCCGAATACAACATCCAACCGGGTGGCATCAGCCTGCAGCCGGGCTCACCCTGCGACAACTTCCAGGGCTACTGCGATGTGTTCCTCAAGTGTCGCGCCGTCGATGCGGACGGACCGCTAGTGCGGCTCAAGAATCTGCTGCTCAATCGGGAAACCCTGCTGACCGTCACCGAGTGGGTCACCGGCAACTGGTATCTGGTGGTGCTCATTGGCGTCGGCTTCATCGTCGTCCTGGGCGCATTCATCAAATGCTGCGCCGTGCACACGCCCAGCTCCAATCCGAAGAAGCGCCGGGCTCGACGCATCAGCGAAACGCTGCGTGCGCCAATGAATACGCTGCGTCGCATGGTAATTTTCGCTTGAGTTTGAATTTCCGATATGCTCGTTAATCTCTTGCTGTACTTCCGTCTGCCTGTCCGCTTATCCATTCGGCTATTGGCCTGAGCTCGAGCTGCCTTATCTAGATGCTTGCAATTGGGTACATTTACACTCCAGTAGAATATGTCCGGGATATAGTTTATATATCGCCCATTGGGGGTGTGACAAGTCTAAACCAAGCTTAAAAATGGTATTTAAACTGCAAAAAGGGGGTCTCAAAGAGTATCTATGCATCTATCTATCCATCTATCCATTCACTATCTATTTAATTATTTTCCACCTAAACATCTGTATCATTCGAACTGTCTATTCAGTTTACCTAGCTATCCTCTACCTATTTTCTTGATATTGTCGCCAGAGACTTACAGCTTATTATACATATAGTCCAAGAGCGCTCCCAGGCTAAAAATATCAATTTAAAGTCAGCTAGGTTTTAGCTTTCAGGTTGCCTTCCACAGACAGATATCTTATATATATTTCGCCACTTGAGTCCGCTTAGAATATCTTGGACGAGTATTACGTAGTCGGTTACAGCCGACTGAGGTTTGATTACTTCTTTCACACTATATTCTACATCCCTTAACCGCAGCAGCGTCATCCCAATCAACGTGGTGCTGGGCCGCGCAGCATTCCACCGCCCGCGCACGAGGCGCAACATTATCCGAGAGGTGGGGGCGGTGGTGGCGGCGGACGACATGGTGGATCACGTGGACACAATCACCACAATGCGCATCCGCACGAATGGGATCGGCATCAGGGGGGCCATTCGATAGTCCCGCTGCCCACGGGCGGCAGCCACTCCAGCCGCAGTGCCCCGGCGAATCAGGCGCGTCGCAGCGATGGGCGTGGCACACGGCCCAGCAGCAGTGGCAGGCCGCAGGCGAGCGGCGGAGCAGCTGGACGATCTGGGTATGGAGTCGATCAAACGGGCGTGGGTGGTGCTATGGGTGGTGGTGTGCAGGCGGCCATTAGCAGCGGTGGTGTGGTGGCGCGTGCGCAGCTGCCACTGCCATTGCTGCCGGCAACTGCACAGCAACAACAACAACAACAACAAGCACTCTCACCGCAACAACAACAACAACAACAACAACAGCCGCAAGCGTTCTATGCGCCGAAAGGTGCGTCTGCCACTCCACGAGAGTGTTCTATGCCAGTAGTTCCCCAATGCCAGAGAGCTGCTGTTTAGTTTCTCATATTTGTTTCACTGAACTACTAAAGCAAACACACATTTAATTTCTATTTTGACCTATTTTTCTTTTTCCTTTTTTTTTGCCCACTTTTCCATCAACTATATATATATATATATGCCTCATCTGTATTTGCAATTCAAATCAAAATCATAAAAAAAATGTCTGAAATTCAGAATTACCGCCACGCAATAAGTCCCGCTCGTCACGTACCACGGCCACGCCCCCGACAGTGGCTGGCAGCAGTAAGCAAGCCAAAAGCGCCAAAGCCAAAGACACACAACAACAACAACAACAGAACAACAAACACAACAACAGCAACCGCAGCCGCAGCAGCAGCAAAGACAAGGCAACAGCAGCCGCTGGCAAGATGCGCCGCAATATTGTTTACTAAATGTGGAACGCTTGGAATTGGAACGCGTCAACACATGCCATATACATTACAAACACAACTACAATATATATATATATATATACAATATATATACCAAACCTCCACGCGCTTGCTAGCGTGCCATTTCCATCGTTCCACGCAAACGGCTTTGCCCCCCTCACCCACCCACACAAAACGAATTTGATCAGCAATTGGTATGAATAATTTTCACTAGCGTTTTCTTTTTATATTTCCCTCACGACTCGATTGTATTTAGCCCGTCTTGAATTTTGTTGTTCTTGATTTTGTTTCCTTCTGGTCCTCGGCTCTAATAACAGCACTTCGTATTCCTCTTATTATTATTATTTGTTGTTTGTCCTTTGCTTGTTTTACTCTCTTTCTGTTTTTGGCATGTTTCCACTTTGTTTGTTTATATTGTTTGAGTCTTTCCGATAATTTGTATTGTTGTTGTTTTTGTTATTGCATGCACACTAAAAATACTATATTAATAATCAAGACTAATTCTGTTTACTAACTCAACTAACGCGAGCAACTGCACCGAATGCAATGCAAATTAACATAAATTGTGTACATAAAAAGATAAATACGTTGTATATAAACACTTAAATGAAAAATATTAATTTAAATTTTTTTAAATATAAAGGACTAAATAAAAAAAATGTATAAAAATAAAACAAAAATAAAACATACATAACATAAATTATGTAAGAAACTTAATTTAAATTCAACTTTTGTATTTTTTTTTTTTTTTTTTTTAATAAGTGCAGTTTTTTTTTAATTAATTAAAAAGTAAACTAAAAAAAAGGCAATTATTTTAATTTAAAACAAATGAAAGTCCTTTGTTTACTTTTATTTTTTTATGCAAAAAAAGTTTATTCAAATTATATATATTTTTTTTCTCAAACTAAATATTTAATTTAAACACAAACTTTAAAACTTGATTTCATGTGAAAAAAAATTTTTATTTTTTTTTTTATTTGTTTGCCAATATCAAAACTTTGAACTGTGCTGGAATTTATGCAAGTTGTTTCCAAAAGGCATTTCATTAGCATAGTTATAAAAACCGAAAAAAGTAAGAAAACTACTAAAAACTACTAAAACCAAGTTTAACTATATGCGTGTATGTGTGTGTGTGTGAGTTTTAATATAAATCGATAAGCTGCACATGGCCTAATTCAAGCAGTTGCCCAGAGGGGGGCGGGCCAACTTGACTTGAACTGGCGCCACGAGCAGCTACAAGTCAAGAAACTAATACAACTTTTAATGTATATGTTTTCTCTCTTTCCATCTGTCTCTGTCTCTCGCTCTCGCTCTGACTTTGTCTCCCTCACATATATATATATATATATGTTTATATATGTATTTAATCTGGCTTAGGCGTCGCGCCCCCGCCGCCGCTACTAGTAAGCTATAGTCGACCGACATCGCTGCATGAGCAACAACAACAGCGACAGCAGCAGACGTTAGAGGAGCTGCAGCAGGAGCCGGAGGAGCACGCCTATGCTGATGCCTATGCGGCATTGGGGCGCGGCCACTATGAGTCGACGAGGCGGGCGCCCAGCAATAGCAAAGTTTGACAGCCAAAATTAATGTCGGAGCGCCATAAAAAACCAAAAGGAAAGCGACAAAAGCAACAGCAACAGCAACAACAACAACAGCTAGCACAGCCACAACAACAGCAACAGCAACAACAACAACTGCAACAAGAACAAAAATCAAATGAACTCAAATTAAATGTAAATGTAATTTTTATGCTAATTATTTTTATTTAAACGAAATACAACAACAAATTGACGAACAATTTCTGAGGTACCAACAAAATGAAGAACAAAATGAACAAGAAAAGCGAAATAAAAATCATAAACGATATTTTTGATTGAATTAATTGATATAAGAATGCAAATCATTATTATTATAAATAATTCAAAATGCGAATTGCATGAAATATAAATATATATATAGAAAACAGACAAAAATATATATACATATATTTAATGATTGTGCGTACTTATTTACAAAGCAGCAGCAACAACATGAATATGAAAATAAAAAAATAAAAATAACAAAAATAATATTTAAATGTACGCAAAACAAAAAACATGCTAAAAATACAATATAAAAAGAGAAATAAAATATTTAAATGTCAAACATTTAGTAAAGAGCAAAAGGCAAGCAACAAATATTGCAATTTCAAACAATTGTTTAATTTCAAAAATAATTTCCAGAAAACAAAAATAATGGCATTTAAATAATGTATGAAAAGCCAAATTCTTTCAAAGCCGTCAAATTTTTTGCATTTGTAAACTTAACAGGAAGAGAAAAAACGATGAAAAATAAATAATAATAAAAAAAATTACCTTTATTTAAAACTGAGAAATTTTAATAATGTTTATTAAAAATGTATAATCAGAATTTAAATCAACGGAAATTGAATAATTAAAGCAAATCTCAAGTTTCCCTAAAAAATTATGTAAAAAACTATATATTTTGTATTCGATTTAGTATTCATTTTGTCATCTTGTATTAGGTTAAAAGCTTTATAATTAAATGTTTAATGAGCTGTTTCAATTATTTCTATCCAGCCCGCAACTGATTATGTTAAATATTATACTCAGCTCCTATATACATATATATATATATGGCCAATATATATATATATATATATATATATATATATATATATATATATATTATTCACTTTAGTTAAACAAATTATTCAAACATTTGTTATAATTTTAATTAGATTTTCTAGTTTATGTTTTTTTTTTTTTGTCTGTTACTTATGCAATTTGTATCATTCTCAACCAACTACATCTCAAATCATCAGATAGATCTTTAAAAACTTATACATAATAAATTTCGAAATTTCCTTTAACTATTTATAGCCATAGAAAACAATTAAAGTACTTGAGTCAGTTTTATTTCTAAAAAGTATTTTACAATTTTAAATGGCAATAATTTCGCACTTTTCAACAAATATTCTTCAATGTAAATTTTGATAAACACAAATTTAATTTCAACTTCTTTCAAAACAAAAAAAAACTTGTACATAAAAAGTTTCTAAGAAATAAACACAAGAAAAATATAAGAAAATTATGAATTAATTAAGTAAAACAAATAAATGTTTAACAAACAACATAAGTTTAACAGTAATTACTTAAATTGAAGTATATATACAAATATATATATAATATGTATTTAAATTTAAATTGAAGAACAAAGGCAAACTATGCTATTAGTTTAAAGCAAGACAAAAGCAGCAAAAACAACAACAACAAGAACAGACAACCGAAATACAAAAACAAAAATATTTAAACTATTAATTTAATTATATATACATATATATAATGAATTAATTAATTGACCTTAAGGCTAAAGAAAAAACACTGCTACAAAAAAAACAAAAAAACAACATAAAAATAAGAATGAGCATAAGAAATGATAATAAAAACAAGAACAAAACTACTATTTTATAAAATACAAAATGTCCTTTATTTTTTAATGTGAAAAATATAAAAGTTTAAATTTATGCAGGAAGTAAGTATTTAAATAGGGTAAGTAATTTGAGATACTTTTCATACTGTAATAAAATTGTTATTTTTAATTTTATTTATTTGATTTTAGGAAATGTATTTATTTTTATGGATATTAAGTGAAATATAAAAAAGAAAAGGGGGTTAAAAGAAATTTGTTTATTTAACATTTTTTTTTATTTTCATCACTACAAAGCCCGCCTTAAATAGATATTTTTCTTATTCTTTTTTTTTTTTTTTTTTTTTTTTTTTGCATTACTTTAAAATGATTTATAAACATTTTTATTTTGGATTAATAACAACAAAAACTCATTTGAATGAAAACACTTTATTTTTTAGAAAATATATTTTTGTAGTTAAACATTATTATTTATTCGCATTTGTTAGCAAACATTGAAGGCACTTTGACAAAATTAAATATTAATATTATAAAATACTTAAAAATTAGTATACAAAAAAACAATTTTTTTGGTTAAAAAGAGAAACAGACACACACATTTAGCTGCGCTGGCAGTTAAACAATTGCGAGTACAGTAAAGCCTGCTGTTATGCACTATGCGCGCACTCGCGATGCCTTCTTGCTTTTGTCAGCCTTGGGCGGCGGCGGTCCGCTGCGTCCGCCCTGCATGTGGCGATTGTAGATGCTGCAATAGAATAGAAGAGTAAGTTATATTGATCTATAGATTTGCTATGCAAACTCACATTCTGTAGGTTTCAGTCTTGAGATAGTCGATCACATGACTGATGCCCAACAGGTATTGCTCCGCAATGGGATTCACCCAGGGATTCTCCTCCATTTTCATCACCGACTTGTTGCTGAGCAGGTCGAGCTGCGCCACCTCCGGCGGCAGCACCTGCAGTCGATTATTTTGTATGTGCAGCTCACGCAATCGCGACAGCTCGCCCACCTCCCGCGGCAGCTCCAGCAGATCGTTGTCGCGCAGTCCTAAGATCTGCAAATTCTTCAGCTGGCCCAGCTCCTTGGGTAGGTACTCGAAGTCGTTGTCGCCGAGGTATAAAGCGCGCAACGTCTCCATGCCAAAGAAGTTGCCGGGCAGCACCTTTTCGCTCAGATTGTTGTACGACAAATCGAGCACCTCCAGCACGGGAAAGGCGCCAAAGCCACGCGGCAGAGTGTCCAATCGATTGATCGAACAGTTCAAAATGCGTAACTTCGGCATCGAAGAGAGCGAAACGGGCAACTCGGTGAGCAGATTGTTCGAGAGGTTCAAGATTTCCAGATTCAACAAGTTCGCAATACCAGGACTGATGACGGTGATCTTGTTGTGCGAGAGCGTCAGGCGTGTGATATTGATCATGTTGACTGTGGGTAATACAATAGAGTTTGCTAATTATACATGTATATGTATAAAGGAATTTGTCAGTTTATACTAAAGTTAGATGGGATGCTATAGATATTTGTGATTGTTAATGTTTTATGCTGTAGACAGGCTAGTTATAGCTAGGATAGCTACATATATAGATACTCGATAGAACCAGTGAATAAATTTTTATTAAAGGAGGCTGGCGATAGTTCAGTATGATATTACTATATCAATCAAATAGCGATTCTCTAAAAATATTTTTTTTTTATATATGCCGAATTTGATCGAATAGAGAACTAGCAAATTTAAAGTAATGTAAACAGTTATAAATATTTTATTCAGTTTTACATTCACTGGACGCAGCAAATTTCCTACAGCCCTTTAAAACTCTCCATGAATAACAGCTGTTTTACACGCACTGCGAGCAACAGGCATTAGTGTAAGTGGGACAACATTATAGTGCGTACGCAGCGCCTATTTATAAGTGAAAATCAAACAAAATTTGGGCGTTTGCTGTCTGACAATTAATGAAAAAGTTAGTGTATAAGCAACAACAATACTTGGCCGTAAGCATACATAGAATGAAGTTATTTGAAATGTAGTTTGTAGCACTGAGTTAGTATAATTTGTTTATAGATGCTGGCGTCATCAAACAGAATTCTGTTAACTGCACAACGATGGCGTCATAGTTATTCTGCGTTTGTTTAATATACACAAATCTAAACAATTAGATGGCAGCACTTATGAGATCTGGGCACTTACACAGTCCGGGCAGCTCCTCGAAGGAGACTAGGCCCTTGTCCACAAGATCCAATTCACGATTTTGGGTCTCGCGCGCCTCATCCAACACTTTCTTTGCCTTCGACATCTTTGCATTAACAGGCAGGCATTGATTCATCGTGGAGCTTGTTTGCTGTTAAGCGTACGCTGTTAACTCAATTGATGCTGTTTAGTGTGCGGCGTTGCCACTTGCCGCCGTATTGTTAGCCGCGACGTCTTAGCGAAGTTTTGCACCTTTTTTATGCTTCACAATGCTGCTGCAACTGTAAGTATTTTGTTTTAGTTAATTTACAAATTTTTATTAAAAAATATTTGTATATTATTATTTAATAACGCTTGCTATTTTTTAAATTTTTTTTGGATTGTGGTTCTCAGCTCTTTTCAAACTGTACTTTGATTTTTATATACACAAACTTTTTATTTTATTTTATATTTTTATTTATTTGATTTTATTTAATTTTTGTTAATCGTACTTTAAATATTTGTTGATGCACTTTTCATATTATATATATATATATATATACATATATATTGTTGCTCTACTATTAAGTAAATTTTATTGTTGCACAGTGCTACTCAAACTGTTGCTGCAGCTGCTTTTGATTTCAGTTTTTCTTTTCACTCTCTGTGGTTTTGCATCTGTTTTCCTTCTGGCAATTTTCACGGACTTTCCAGCACTTTAAATCGAGTTCAACAATTTGTATGCACACTGTGCCGAGCAAACTATGCACTTGACCCAATTTGCAATTGAAAAGAATTTTCTTTTTATTTATTTTCTGTTTTCATTTTTTTTTAAAGAATTTCTTCTGCACTTTCAACAGGTTTGCACGTAACTGAGCATTTGATGTGCTCTTTGAAATTCGTTTCTAATTCTAATTTCAATAAAAAGAAACGAAAACAAAAACAAAAACTACGAAAATAGTCTGCGTCACCTTTCGCTCTCCACGCGCTCGTCCCAACTGCCTGAGCAGTTTTCTTCACAACGTTCGATCCGTTCCGATCCGATCCGATCGATTGATTCGTCTTGGAGCTGGTTTTTGTTTTCTGTTTGCCTTTTTTCGCGATGTCGTCAAAATGCGAGTGTGAGTGCTCTGGTCGGGCGTGTTTGGCAAAGAGATACTCTGTAATTAAATGTGACATTTTGTTAGTGGGAAAAGGAGTTCAACAATTATCAGTTAAAGAACGTCTTTCCATTCGACTCGTAATATTTACATATCGCTCAGTTGAAGAGAGAAGTAGTGAGGGACAGAAATAAAGACAGCATGAGAAAAAAATGAGACTGAGACAAAGGTAGAGAGATATGGAAAGAAATCTGAAGAGATAGAGAAACACGGGAGATAATGAGAAAGGGGTAAACAGTGAGATAGGGTAAGAGAACGGGAAAGGGGCGGGTAAGAGAGAAGGAGATAAATAGAGATTTTTAAAGGTATATAAAAATTAATTATTATTTATTCAACATGATATAAAAGAAAAAGCGGACAGAGCGAAAAAAGAGAAGTATGAGAGAGAAGATAAGTTAATAAGTAAGTAGTTATTTAAGTATAAGTAAGATAAGTTATTTAAGTATAATTCTCTCACTTGTTACTAACATTGACAGCACTTCGTTCAACCCCTGTTGCTCTACCTAATAGAGTACAGGGTATAATGGAAACACATACTACAAAGACATTTCCATTCTCGTTAAACTTGATACGAGTTTTGCCTTTTGTTTGGTTTTAGTTTATTTTTATTTTAGTTTTTGTTTTACTTATTTTTTTCTTAAATTCAACGCCGCGAAACCCGTTTGGCAGCATTTTGTTTATATCAACTTCTGTTGCATTCCATTTATGTTATTTCTAAATTTACCTGTAGCATAAAAAGTTTTTATAAATTTTAAGAAGAAATTGATCGATGTTTCATAAAGATAAAAAAGATGATTTGTGTAAAATTATATATTTATAGTAAATATATATAAAAATTTATGGCATAATATGCTGAGTTTTCCTAAATTTACCAAATATCATATATATACATAATTTTCAGTCAAGAATTTACTATATATGATCTCTGTATTCTTATGCGTATGCAAATTTTATATTATTTCATACAGTATTTTATATTCACATATATATTTAATTCTGTAATCCTGCAATCATCCGATTCGACTTTATAGCGACAATACTTCGCGCAGTATCCAAATTGGGTATTTATTAAGGGGCCGCAGGCTATCAGTAATATATAGAATAATTTACTATTTGTAATTAAATTTAATTTATTGCTTTGCTATTAGAAAAATGAGAATGTATTAGTTATAATTATTAATGAATAATTATAAATAAAAGGACAATTGAAATTTAAATTTTTTAATGTAATTTAAAAATTATATACTATTTCTGTATTCCTTTTATATTTGTTAAATTTGATTTAACTTTTTCAGATCTGACTAATTCAAATAATATTAAATATAAATAAATATCAAAAATTAAATACAGCTTAAGTCTGAACATCTTGAGATTCTGGCTTTAACTAAAACCTAAGAGTAAAAAAAATTAAAATCATTTTATAAATAAATATTTACAAATAGTTGCAGCTTAACAAAAAATAATTAACAACAGTTGTTATAGCATGTGTAGTAAAAAGCTAAACTATTTGTTGTTTAATTTTCCGTTTTTATGATAGGAAAAGATATGAGTTATATGTAGAGCAAACTCATATAAATTATTTCAATTTAAATTTGCTGACTTTTTTATTTATTTAATTTTTTAAAGAGATTTTTTCATTGTTTTTTATATAGGAAACAATTTTGTTTTAAAATTGAACAAATTTTGTTTTAAAATTGAAAAAAAAAATAATTTTTTTTTACCCTGAACCCATTGAAAATGGGAGATCAGGGTATAATGGTTTTGTGAAAAAGTATGTAACGGCCAGAAGGAATCATCGCAGACCCCATAAAGTATATATATTCTTGATCAGCACGACGAGCTGAATCGATATAGCCCTGTCCGTCTGTCCGTCGGATCTCAGAAGCTATAAGATCTAGAGAGCTGAAATTTGATATGCATACTCGTGAGTATCATACGTAAAAGTTTATCATATTTTTTCGATAACTCATCCGATAACCTTTTTAATCGGGAATAATCGAAAAATAGATTTTGTTTTTTCAGCCTAATTTGAACACTTTTAGACCTGGAGATTTTAAATTTATTGTGTATATACAGTTGATCGACAGGAAGATTTTGTAATTTACAGATCTGGGATACCACGCCCCCTTCTCCCCCAATTCGTAAAAACGCATTTCAAGTACTAGAGACTTGTGCTTTGGAATGTAAACACATTTTCACCATATGATTACGCTCGATTATACTTGCGTGAGGATGCGTGTGTATGCATGTGTGCGTAAAAGAAGTGCTGAATGAGTAGACAATCAGCTAAGAGGGTTCAGGGTATCTCCTAGTCGAGCAGTCTCGACTGGAGCCTTCTTACTTGTTATAATTTATATAATTGTTTTACAATTTGTGTTGTCGTTGGTTCGCCGTATTACAAATATTTTGCCAAATACAATATTTCAATTAAAAAATGAAACACAAACTATATTATTTAATATTTAATAAATTTGCTGCTGCTTCATGGCAGCGACAAGGCCTATAAATAATGACGAGAATATTGTAGGCTGAATGGTGGGCGGATAGCTATCCGCGGGGCGAGGCGAAGCGGAGCTTTAGCTTCCGCTTAGATTGTTAGCTGAATTTTTAATTACTTTATTGTTGATGCGGTCATCAGGACTATGGCGCTCTCCCCATCTCACTCTTTCCATCACACTGTCTCCCACTCTATCTCTCTCGTTCATTCTCTTCGTTCTGATATGCAATGTTAGACCCACGTGTATATGTATATTCTTTTTTTGTTTGTTTTTTTTTCGCTTTCCTATTAATTTTCATTTTGCCTGTCGAATCTGCCAAAGCCAGTGAAAGTTTGTCTTTTGTGCCTTGTGTTGCATAATATGCGTGTTGCATACTTTTCGAGCGCACTGTGGGTCCAGCCATGAGTATGTGTGTGTGTGTGTGTGTTTCGGCCGTGTGCTGTGCGCAACATTTTCGCCATATAAAATATGCAAAATAATGCATTCTCTCGTTGGCTAGCAAAAATTAAAATTAAAAAAGACAAAAAAAAAAAAAAAACAAAAAAAAAAAAAAAAAAAAAAAAAACACAAAAATAACTCTAGCTTAGCCCGAAAAATTAATTTTGGTTTTGCTGTGAAATTTTCGTGCACTAGATTTTCAGTCGACACAGATTTTTCTAATTTTTTGTTTTTATTTTGTTTCTGCTAATGTTGCGGCAACACTGGCCATAGTTTTTTGTTTTAATTAAGTTTTTTTTTTAGTTTCTGTCCTATTTATTTTAGTAAAGTTTGGGGCGCATTGCGAAGCTGCGCTAATTTTCATATGCAAAATAAATTATTAAATATTATTCATATCTAAAAATATTACAAAACGAATTCCCTTTGGGAATTCGGAGTATATTAGTAGAAATATTTGACAATTCTAAATTTATATAAATCCCAAAAATGGTTTGTAATATTTTTATTTTAATTTAATTTTACTTATTTTATGTTTTTAACAAAATTTATTCACAAAGTTATATTAAACTCTTGCATTCCGAAGTATGTGTTATTTTAAATTTAGATCGTAAAAGATCGTAAAAGCTGATTTGCTGAGTGGAACGTAATTAGACCGTTTTAATAATTGTGCTTAGCTGCTCCACATGCTCATGCACTCACATACGTCTGAGTAAACGCATACACTTGTACACATTCATAGGCAAAGCTTTGTTTTGTTGTCTGCATCCTAAATTGAGTGCAAAAAAGCTGTGCTCGATCGTAACTGAGATGGTAGTTGAGTGGCTTTCATTGACGCTAAACTGCGCTCTTTCTCACACATACTCCTACGGAGTGAAGACTTGAGCTGTAGAGAGAACATGTATGGAATCCAAAAGTGGGCGCACAGAATATGTAAAACGCAACTTGGATCGTAATTGTGTGAATAACTGAGTACTCTTAGGGCAAACACACGCACATATGTATTTGCAGCCAATGGCGCGCAATGGTTGGATCGTAACTGAGATAGGAATTGAAAGGCTTAGTGG